TAGAATGGTATACAATACCGACAAGATGAAATTAAGACACACGTGCAACATCTGGGTATCTTTATTGTAGACGTTTCGCCATCCAGTGGCTTTATCATGGCGGAACGTCTACAATAGAGATACCCAGATGTTGCACATGTCTTAATTTCATCTTGTCGGTATTGTATACCATTCTTGTACATAAACCTCGTCTATAACCACGACCCTCAAGTAACTGAATTCACAAACACTATGAGCAGCTGCTTATTTCTGCCAACAATAACAAGACCTACTAGAATCTCCAAGACAAATGCCTCTTTACTAGACCACATCTGAACGAACATAATATCCCCATTAAAAGCAGGCATAATCACAAATAATACCACTGACCACTATCCCACCTTTCTTATAACCAACTTATGTAAATTATCTGTTTGTATGCTAAATTTCTAAAATAAATAAATAAATCTCGGTACACAACTAAGATCACCTGATTGCATGACGAGTCATCTGTCAACATTAAATAACATCGACTGGCAAAACGAGCTAGCAGTCAACCTCAATTTTGATGAATGTATTAATATTTTCTTAAAAAAAAAAAAAAACTCTAACACACATTGCCCAATAAAAACTAAGCAGATCACAGCAAAGTGACTAAACAGCCCTTGTCTTACAAACAGCATCCTCAAATCTATTGATAAAAAATATGAAAAACAGTACAGAATGGGTCTAATAACAAAGGGTCTGGCAAAACGTTACTCGACAGTACTAACCAATCTAATAAGGAGGTCAAAAAAAAAAACTATTACGAAAACAGATTTCATGACATAACATGTGATATGAAAAAGACCTGGAAAACCTTATCGAAAATTCTAGGATTTAAAAAGCTGTCACAAAACAGAATGATTAACGTAACGAAACCAGAAGAACCTCTCCTCCAGCCAACAGATACTGCCAACAAACTTAATGTCTTTTTCTCAACCATAGAAACAAAGCTAGCAAGCAAAATTCCAAACTTAAACCTTCAACCAAAAGACTACCTCACTGGCAACTACCCAAGTACTCTATTTTTAGCCCCAACAAATCCTACTGAAATCTCGCTCATCGTCAAAACACTAAAAATCAAGGCAGGCGACCTAAATAACTTTACACCACTTGTGTATAAAAAAGCTTCTCGTGTGTTGTCGCCAATTATTGCAACTCTCTAACAAATCCATTGAATCTTCCACCTTCCCATCCATACTCAAGATGGCAGGGATCACTCTGATCCTCAAAGGAAGTGATCCAACTGAATTGAACAACTATAGACCTATATTAGACTTGCCCCTACTATCTAAAATCTTTGAAACGTTAACTCGCAAACAGGTCTACTCCTACTTAGTATCCTACAACATACTCAACCCCTGTCATTTTGGATTCAGACTGATAAAAGTACTAATGATGCAATTATACATATGCTAGAGTTAATATATTTGGTACTCGGAAAAAATGAATTTCCACTGGGACTTTTCATACTTATGAAAAGCTTTTGATGCAGTTGACCATACCTTTGATATACCTTTGAAGAGTTTTGAGTTTCACTAATCTCGGAGCCCAGCCATGGGCCAAGCTTGTCTGGTGCTTGCCTGGTCAACCAGGCTGTTGCTGCTGGAGGCCTGCTGCCCCACATATCCATCACAGCCTGGTTGATCTGGCACCTGGACCATGCCCTACTGCACCAAAAACTTGAACATTACGGGGTCAGAGGAGACACTCGATTACCTAAAATCTTACCTTAGCTTCATTTGTGAATACATACTGGGTTCTATTGCTAACTCCACTACACAACCTTGTTGGAGTCCCACAGGGGAGTGTCTTTGGCCCACTTCTTTCTCATTTACATCAGTGACCTCCCAAATGCATCTAAACTCCTTGAACCCATTTTATTTGCAGATGACACTGCTTGTGTCTTCTCTCGCCCAAACCCACCCATACTAACAGACACTGTAAATGCTGAGCTGCAAAAAAAAAATCTACTTGGATGACCGCCAGTGAACTTAGTCTCAGTATAGACAAAACCTACTACATGCTGTTTGGAAACAGAGCTGCAAATTTACAGCTAAACATATTGATAAATGGTTCATCCATTTCTAGACACACACACAGCAAATTTCTAGGTCTCTACTTAGACTGCAATCTCAAATTCCAGACACACGTACAGCAAATATCCAAGAAAGTCTCTAAAACAGTAGGCATCCTCTCAAAGATATGGTACTATGTACCCCGATCAGCTCTAAATGCTCTGTACTACTCTCTCATTTACCCTTGCCTCACCTATGATATTTGTGCATGGGGCACAACCACAGCAAATCACCTTAGACAAAAAGCTGCAGTGCGATTGATTACAAACTCCTGTTCTAGGCAACATACTCCTCCACTTTTCAAGAGTCTTAACTAGCTTAATATGCAAAACATCTACACTTGTTATTGTGCCTACTGCATACACAGAACACTACACTCAAATATAAACCCTCCTCTCAAACTCCTCCTTGATAACTGTAACAGAACACTCAACCATAATACAGGACAAATCACTCTTGACATCCCTCATGTCCATCTCTCCTTATACAAAAATGCTATGCACGTAAAGGGCCTGAAGATCTGGAATTTGTAGCTAGAACACACTAAAAGTACCCCTGCCTGCTTATCAATTTAAGGCCCTACTTAGAAATCTCATCACCCAAAATTAACAAGACAAACCATTCTTAATACCTACCAGTTACTCTAAAGCTACACAAAAAAACTTCTAAATAATTTAAGACTGCTCAACTTAAAATTCTCAATTTCATTACTGTATATTGTGCTGAGGATTGCTCAACCATTTACTCATTACTTCAAAATTAGGATGTCTAAATTTCATTGTTTGATACTAAATTGTAATACTTCACACTGTAAATTGTTTAAATTGTTCTCTTATAATACTGTAACTTTTATAAAATGAGTTGAAACTATAATGATTCTCTACTAAACTTCTCTACTAGGCTTATTGAAGCCATATAGCATTACCTAATAATACTCAATTCTCTTGTGTTTACTGAATTTTTGGTACATGGCTATGAGGTGCTTGTCTGGAATAATAATAATAATTTTTTGGTAGAAATAAATTTACAGTGCTTCTTATTAAAATACGCCAGGTAGAAGGCATCCAATATAATTTCATGTCCAGAGTAATACCCTATGCTGGTACATTTCTCAGGATTCCCTAATGGCTACTGGCTGTATCCTAAATGCCCTCTGGGCTTGTGTTATTGGTGATTTTGTGTCCGTGGTCTCCCTTCACCGTGTGGTCTTGAGGGCTGAGATTCAGATACTTTTGGCTTATTGATGAATTAATATGGGCAGGAATAAGTAAGTTAACATGAAACATTGCAGAGATTATTGGATTACATAAGGCAGGGAGCCATCAAATGAAGGAAATAGAAGCAGTAGCAGTGTCAGGTGAGGACATGGTTGCGTCGGCCGCGGAGGGCAGTCTTCATTGCACACCCACACTAAAATCACTTTCAGGGAAACCTAGAAAAATGTCCCCACTGATGTTAATGCTACAAATGTACCTAGAATTGATCTGTTATCATTTGTCTGAATCCTTCACTTGGTGTGGTGCAAGGTTGTTATGCAAAACAGTGCTCCTTGCCTCGGCTTCGTGACTCGTTGGTACCTTGCTTTGGTGATTAGCCAGGAAACTTCCAATACTTGAACCCCATTGAAAACCTACAGGCTGAGATAGGGAGATCTAGGGAAAGGATATCTGCTCACTCCCATAGCTTTAGAACAACATCCATTTGTCATAGGAAAATTTATTACATGAAACCCAGAAGAATGTTTATTAATCACTTGTATACAGTTGAAGGATATTCTGAAGCTCAAGGGCCAACCTGTTTTATGGTTGTGATTTTAGAGTGGGCCAGTGTACTTTTAATGATGAGCACTGTACAAGTCTTGTACTAAATTTGCACATACAGTAGTACCTTGGGATACGAACCTAATTTGTTCCAGAAGGCTGTTCGAGTGCCGATCTGTTTGAGTACCGAACGAATTTGTTCCCATAAGGAATAATGTAAAGTAGATTGATCTGTTTCAGACACCCAAAAATACACTTACAGAAGCACTTTCAAAAATACACTTACATAATTGTTTCAAGAGTTCAGAACCGGGAGGTACACTTGTAGTGGTGAAACGGCCTGTGTTTTACATGTATAGTGGTTTGCTTGTCCTTTTTTGGTCTATGAGGACACCCGTTTTATAGTTCCCGGATACTTCACTTTTTGTTCCCTTCAGTACAGCCATTCAACCCTTGGTTCTTCTTCTACTATCTGTAGTATTATTCTTTTTTATTCTCTTCCATTGAAGTCATGAACTTCTTCCTCCGTAAGCCAGTAAGAGACCATCCGGGACAATGAACCCTTGTTATTTACAAAGTAAAAAGAAATTAGCTGGAGACCCTCATGGGGGTGTAGAAAACAAGGAAATTTCAAGTTGATCTTACATTGTATTGATGAACTGTGTTCAGTTTTAACCAGCCCTTAACCCTAAACCTGGGCCCAAACCCCGTCAAATGATCTACCTTCAACATGACCTATGCTCTACTGGACCTTGATTTTTCCAACTGGATATTGTAGATTTTTGGGGGGGCCGGGTTATGGTAGCGTTGACTTGATTTATGAATGTAAAAAAAAAAAAAAAAAATAGATCTACGTTCGGAGCCCCCGCTCGTGGACGTAGATCTACGTTGGTACAGTTTAAGGGTTAAATGGCTTTAAATTTAACAGATCAACTAATACGTTTGGGTGAGAAGGCAATCTGTAATACCCCGTAGAACTCTTTTTACAGTACTAATATTTTCATTGATGTGTGCACACAATGTGAATATTTGGCAAATTTCATTTGATTATGAATTAAATACAATGTTTGTAAAAGGAATAAGTGCTCTAATCTATTTGTATTGACATAATTCATAATACTGTACTCAAGTTTAACATCTTTTTGGCAGAGGGCAGAAGATTCCAATCTTCTCAGCTGCAGGTCTACCCCACAATGAAATTGCTGCTCAGATTTGTCGTCAAGCAGGTTTGGTTAAACTGCCCACCAAGAGTGTTCATGATGACCATAAAGACAACTTTGCCATTGTGTTTGCTGCTATGGGTGTAAATATGGAGACTGCCAGATTCTTCAAACAGGTTAGACATAAGCTAGCTTTGATGCAAAGCCTCTTACCTCAATAATTTTTTCAAGTAAATGTATAAAATTCTATATTTAGTAACTTTATCAGATATGATAGTCAGGTATCTTTGAGGTAAAGAGAGTAGTAAGAGAAGAGAAGAAAAGTTAGCATATGAGAGGTTTTTACAAGGTAGAAGTGATACAAGACAGGAGGAGTATATGGAGAAAGAGAGGTTAAGAGTGGTGAAGGAAAGTAAAAGGAGAGCAAATGAGAGTGGGTGAGATGCTATCAACAAATTTTGCTGAGAATAAAAGTTTTGGAGTGATATTAAGTTGAAAAAGCCTAGGAAACGAATGGAATTGAAAGTTAAAAATAGGAGAGGAGAGTTATTAAATGGAGAGTTAGAGGTATCCGGAAAATGGAGGGAATATTTTTATTAAGTGTTAAATGTTATTGAAGATAGAGAAGCTGTCTATTGGGCAGGAAGGTATAACATCTTGGAGTGAGGAAGAGTCAGTTGTGAGTGTGGGGAAAGTGCATGAAGCAGTGGGTAGAATGAAAGGGGGTAAAGGAGCTAGGATTGACATGATAAAGGCAGAAATGTTAAAAGCAGGCAGGGATGTATTTTTGGAGTGGTTAGTGCTTTTATTTAATGTATGGAAGAGGGTAAGATACCTAAGGATTGGCAGAGATCATGAATTGTACCATTGTATAAAGGCAAAGGGGACAAAGAGTGTAAGAATTATAGGGGAATAAGCCTGTTGAGTATACTTGGTAAAGTGTATGGTAGTTATTATTGAAAGAATTAGGTATAAGACAGAGAGCAGGATAAGAGGAACAAGGATGCTTTAGGAAGGGTAGGGGGGAGTGTAGATTAAGTGTTCACAGTGAAACACTGTTACAAAAAACACGATTCTAAAAGCTTAGAGATCTCCAGTGAATACTAGAAAGGACTGCCCTTCTAGCATCCAGCCTGTTACTGGGTTTTCGTAACAAGTAGTCAGTATCCTTGTCCAATTATCCATTATAATTCAATATTATTCAATAGTGCTTTAGAATTACAACTGGTAGGCTACTAACTAGAGAAATTAAAATTTAATAAATTTATTAAGTCTAGAGGTATATTATCAAATTAAATTAAATTACAGCAATCAAAATAAAATCAATCTCTCGAGTTCAATATTATCGTGCTGAAAGCACATATCACATTTATAATTCTTAAGTACCGTCAGGTACATTAACATTTAATAAGATATTACAAATATGTACAAGTAAGTGTGTATGTGTGTAAGTGCTCTAAGTAGTTTGCTATGTCTCACGACTCGACTAGACTTAAACAAGTGACTGACAAAGTCCTCAAATAAACTAACTTCTTGACCGACTGGCAACCCGAACAGTCTGCTTGAACAACAAAGAATGCTAAGCCCAATAGCAATGCAATATCAAGCGACTGCGACACAGAATCAGGAACTGGGAAATAATATAACGACACTAAGTAGGGACCATCAGCAGATCCTCCACAAAAGTTACAAAACTCCCATACTACTGAATCTATGTTCAGCATAGGAAAAATGCGACTGTGACAATACACAGAAACCAGTACAAAATTAGGTCAGAAGCTATAGCTAAGGACCTGAGATGTTCAGAGTGTCTAAGCGACACACAACCTCAGTACAACGTCGAAAATCACTAAGTCTATACAATGTTCTGAGAACAGAGTTCTACAGAACTAACAAGAATAATGAGACAGACAATCTGTCCAACCACCAAGCGAGTCTACAGCAGACTGACTCTTTCACGAGAGGTGAGGACACCCCCCCCCTCGATCACGTGATAGCCCCGTGGACAGCGCAGCTCAGAAGCCGGCAGTATAACCTATGGAATTTGTGCATGGGGCTCAACAACAAGTAACCATCTCAGACCACTAATTACCCAACAAAAGGCTGCAGTTAGAATGATAACAAATTCTCACTACAGGCAGCACACTCCACCAATATTCAATACACTCAACCTACTCACCATACAAAACATCCATACTTATTACTGCACCTATTACATACATAGAACACTCAACTCTGATATTAACCCTCCCCTCAAACATCTCCTTGCCAACCTCAACAGAACACATGACCATAACACAAGGCACAGATCACTCTTTGATATTCCTCGTGTCCATCTCACGCTATGCAAAAACTCAATGCACATAAAAGGCCCTAAAATCTGGAATTCATTACCTGTAAATATAAAAGAAACACTACCTGTTTATAAATTCAAGTCTCTTCTCAAAGATCACTTACTCACCCAAAACCAAATAAATACTGAATAACTGAACCTTTATAATTGTATATCTTAAATGTTTCTCACAATTATATCACATAAATGTTAAACCTAAAACCCAATCTAACTTTATTATTTTTTAAATTCACTACCTAACAGAATACTCCATTCTACTGAATTTACAACAATGCATGCAACCATATGACCTGTCTTTGTAATACTCACTTATGCTTTATAGTAATCAGTTTACATTAATGTTTTTCACTGATTTCATCATTGCTTAGTTAATCTTAAGTTAATTTTAAGCCAGCCCGTAATGCTATGCATAGTATAAGTGGCTTTGGCATGCTGCTCTTATCTGTATTTTTTTTTGTACCTCTGTAAGTGTGCTCAAATTATAAATAAATAAATAAATAAATAAATAAATAACGAGCGACAAGCGATAATTACAGTAGTTTGACAATCAAGACCAACTGAGCACATATTATGTACATCCTAACAACATAAGCCACGTCAAATAACAATATAAGGCAATACATTTGCGATTTAGCTATTATTGCAAATATAAGCAATATAAAATTATATGAAAAGGTAATATACATTACATATATACATATTATTATTATAATAGAAGCGCTAAGCCACAAGGACTATACAGCGCACATATATACATAATAATCATTGTAACCCATCCAGGGGTTGCAACAAACACCTAGGTGAACAGTGTTTAGATAAAGGTAAAGAAGTTATTGTGGCAATTATGGATTTGGAAAAGACATGATAGGGTGGATAGGGGGGCAATGTGGCAGATGTTGCAAATGTATGGCATAGGCTATTGAAAGCAGTGAAGAGTTTTTACTAGGATAGTGAGGCTCGGGTTAGTTTGTAGGAGAGGGAGATCATTTTCCAGTAAAAGTAGGCCTTAGACAGGGATGTATGATGTCACCTTTTTTTTTTTTTTTTAAACAAACTGGTCATATCCCACTGAGGCAGGATGACTTAAAAAGAAAATCTAAAGTTTCTCTTTAAATTAGTAATTTATACAGGAGAAGACTTCACTAGCACCTTGCTCCTGGCATTTTTCTCTTAAGACATGCATGACTAACGGAGGAAGAATTCCGTTCCACTTCCCCATTGCGAGTAATTACACCCACCAAGACAGCTGCGATCATATGTCAGCTAGACAAGATGAAGCTTGCACCCAGCTTGGCCACTGAGGTTGTTCAGTATATTCATAGATGGGATTGTAAGAGAAGTGAATGCTCGGGTGTTGGCAAGAGGCGTGGGATTAAATGATAAAGAATCTAACACAGTGGAGTTGTCACAGTTGCTCTTTGCTGATGACACTGTGCTTTTGGGAGATTCTGAAGAGAAGTTGCAGAGGCTAGTGGATGAGTATGGTAGGGTATGTAAAAGAAGGAAATTAAAAGTGAATATAGGAAAGGGTAAAGTGATAAGGATAATGAAAAATTTAGGTAATGAAAGATTGGGTATCAGATTGGAGGGAGGGAATATGGAGAAAGTGAATGTATTCAGATATTTGGGAGTGGACTTGTCAGCACATGGGTCTATGAAAGACACGGTGAATCATAGAATTGATGAGAGAAAATGGTGAGTGGTCTGTGGAGACAAAGAACATTATGCGTGGAAGCAAAAAGAGGAATGTACGAGAATATAGTCATACCAATGCTTTTATATGTATGTGAAGCATGGGTGGTGGATGTTGAAACAATGAGAAGGCTGGAGGCAGTGGGGATGTCGTGTCAGAGGGCAATGTGTGATGTGAATATGATGCAGAGAATTCGTAGTTTTTTGTTTATTATTAATTTGGACATGATACTTAGTTGTACAAAGAAATACAGTGGTTAAGTGTAACATGCCAGAAGCCCCTTGTATGCAGAGCATTATGGGCAGGCTTAATATTAACTTAAGATTAACTAAGCAATGATATATTCAGTAGTAAAAATTATAGTGAACAAATAACAATTAAGCACAAATGAGTATTTCAAAGACCGGTTATATGGTCCTATGCAGAGTTGCTGTGCATTCAATAGAATGGAGTATTCTGTTAGGTAATGTAATTAAAAAAAAAAGTTTGATAGGGTCACAGGTAAATGCAATGATTGGTGACAGCACTTGCGATTCTTTTTTGTATATAAAGGGTGGTAAGGTATTTAAATCTCTTGACTTGTTTTAAAGTGTGTTGATAATAAGGGAGAATTCTGTTGGGTTAGTCGGAGCTAGGAACAGTGTGTTTGGGTAGTTGCCAGTGAGGTAGTTATTGGGTGGGGTATTTGAGCTTGGGATTTTATGTGCTAGGTTTTTTCCTAAGGTGGAGAAGAAGTCATTGAGTCTGCTGGTTTCAGTTGGTGGGAGTTGGGGTTCATCTGGTTTAGTTAGTTCAATTGTGCTATTTCGTGATATCTTTTTTGTTCCTAGAATTTCTAATAGGGTTTTCCAGGTCTTTTTTATATCACCTTTTAAGTTGGATAATCTGTTCTCATAATACAATTTTTTAGCCCTTCTTATCAGGCTGGTTAGGACTGACGAGTAACGTTTTGTTTGGTCTCTGGAAATTAGGTGCAGGGTTACTAAAAGTATTATCCAGAGGGCTGAGGAGGAATTGTTGAAGTGGTTTGGACATTTAGAGAGGATAGAACAAAATGGAATGACCTGGAGAGCATATAAATCTGTAATGGAATGAAGGCGGGGTAGGAGACAGCTTCGGAAAGGTTGGAGGGAGGGGGTAAAGGAGGTTTTGTTTGTGAAGGGCTTGGACTTTCAGCAAGCATGAGTGAACGTGTTAAGAAGGAGCGAGTGGAGACAAGTGGTTTTGAGGATGTGACTTGCTGTGTGTGTGTGTGTGTGTGTGTGTGTGTGTGTGTGTGTGTGTGTGTGTGGTGTGTGTGTGTGTGTGTGTGTGGGGTGTGTGTGTGTGTGTGTGTGTGTGTGTGTACGTACGCGCGCAAAAAGTAGCATTTATGAAGGGATTCAGGGAAACCGGCAGGCCGGACTTGAGTTCTGGAGATGGGAAGTACAGTGCTTGCATTCTGAAGGAGAGGGGTGTTAATGTTGCACTTTTATAACTGTAGTGTAGTCACGCATCTAACAAGACAGTGATGGAGTGAATGATGATGAAAGTGTTCCTTCCTTTCTGGGTCACCCTGCCTTGGTGGGGAATGGCCAATGTGTAAAAAAAAAAAAAAAAAAAAAATCGGGTATTCCTGATTGGGTACCCTTTTTTAACCTTCCTCCAAGGTTTCTGCATGATTTAAGTATGTGTGGTACTATTAACTTTAAATTTTCAAAGCTGTTTTACTGTAATTAAAGAAAAGTTCTTGCAGTTATTGATGTGTAAGTGCCATCTGGAAATATTATGCATATACATGTAGACCATTCTTGTTTTTTTTATTTTCCTGCAGTAGCCTGTGAAAACATCTGATTACTTCAGGCTTTCAACTCTTGTTCCCTAGTTTGTTAATGGAGTGCTGTATTTAAACACTGGCCTATCCTAGTTTGAAGAAAGTTGGGAATGTTAGGGGAATATGTAGATGCTGTTTGCCACTTTTATTCTTAATTTTATTCTGTTAGATTATTTGACCATGCCTTCTTTGGGCGATTTCAGTATTTAATTCCTATTTCATCTTATGGCTAGGATGGTACCCTATAAGTTTTAGTTCTGAGTAATAACTGAAGGCAGCCTCTTTTGACTGACTTAAAAACTTTTAGTGATAGTTGATTTTGCTCAAAGAAATGTTTGCTTCGATTTTGGTCTGTGAAAGTTTTTCCTTTTTTTTTTTTTTTTAAATTGATTTTCATGTAAGTGGAAGTGCTTATGATAGGCCTTTATATTGATCTTTGGCTGTGTAGGTGCCAGTTTTATTGATGAAATTGATCATTGAAATATTAGTCATGTGATATTTATGAATACCTCATCCATTTGGTTTCAAATCTTTACTGCACATATATCTTGCATAGAGGAAGTTTAGGATTTTTTTTGACTGTGTAAATGCAGATTTGCTTTGTTTAGTAACTCAGAGGAGGTACAGAAATTCCAGTTTCTAAAGAAGAAAAAGAAAAGAGTAAAATCAGATTGGTTTGCTTAAGGGATGATAGAAAGTTTGCGAAGAATATAAAGAAGGATTGAATCTTTTTTATGGCAATTTTAAGTTTCGTAAGACTAATGAACACTTGAATATATGAATTTTGTATGTCTTTATTGTAGAGCCAGTCATGTACTTAGGCACAGGAAGGCCTGCTTTACGCGTTTCACTTACGGCGTTCGCTAATACGGACATTGCAAATTATGACCAAAATCACTATACGCTCCCCCCACCTGACCTTTCTAATACGTCACTGCCCCACCCTGTTTGTTTTACATTCCTCCATGACTCAGTAGCATAAATCTCTCCATTTAACTGGAAACTCCAAAATTTCAAATGTTTTTAAAGTTATTTCATATTTTATATATACTCTGATAATTACTTACTTACTCCTGACCCTACATTAAGACTACAGATTTACGGTAAGTAAGGTGAACTGTATATACATTTTTTATCGCTCTGGGATGCTTAATATAAAGAACTAGTAATGTGTGGGTGGGGTGCTGGTAAATGGTAAGCCTGCTTTTACAATACATACCCACTTGATGTTCTTACAATAAATACTACTAATCTCACCCTAATGAAGACACAATATTTAAGGTAAGTAATGAGTGCCTAAAGTGTGATTCGTACTTTTTTATTGTTTTTGATGCCTGGTTCTATTGCTACTAATATATGTTAGTGAAACTTGTTAATCTAGTGTTTGTATGCAATTAGCAGTGAAAAAAAAAGAGTGTTCACTTAACGGCGGTTTCCGTTACGGCGGTAGCCTGGAACCTAACCCGTCCGTAATAAGTGGTGGCTCTTCTGTACAATGTTTTGTTCCTCAAGAAATTGTTTATAATTAGAGAACACACAAGTGCTCATTCAACAGTGCTAGTGAGCTACAGCCTGCAAGGTTATGAACTGTTAGGGCAGATGCCCATTGACATTTATGAACGTTCCTGATATTGGTGTCATTGAATACTTCCTATTCTGATAAACTTCAAGCTTTCAAAACTGGTCTAAAATATTTGCATGGAGGTTCAGATCATTGGAATGTGTATGAGTTAATATGTTAACTTTATTTTTGGCGCCGGGTCACCATCTGGAAAAGACCCAGGCCGGGACGTGTACCGGCGAATCGTTCAAGTACTTTATATGTTTTTTTAAATGATATATTGTTATTTTGGTGAAACAACTATATATATTTTTTCTGAGCAGATTAAATTTTTAATTGCTGATGCATCTTGTAAATGGAAGATACCATTTAGGTTTAAGCTTTGTAGTTGCAAATTTGCAGTTACAGGAAGGCCCCACTTATAAGGCTGGTTAGGTTCCAGGCTACCGCCGTAAAGCGGAAACCGCCGTAAAGTGGAACACCCTTTTTTTCCACTTAAAAATGCATACAAACACTAGATAACAAGTTTACACTAACATATATTAAGTTAGCAATAGAACCAGGCATCAAAAAACAAAAAAGTACAATACACACATAGTGCACTCATTACTTACCTTAAAATATTTAGTCTTAATCTAGGGTGAGACAAGTAGTATTTATTGTAAGAAATCAAGTGTGGTGTGTATGGTAGTCAGCCAGGCTACCATACCAGGCCACCCCACCCACACATACAATTCTATGATATTTAAGCATCCCAGAGCGATAAAATGTATATACAGTTCACTCATTACTTACCTTAAAATATAGGGTGAGATGAGTAGTATTTATTGTAAGAAATCAAGTGTGGTATGTATGGTAGTCAGCCGGGCTACCATACCAGGCCAACCCACCTACACATAATATTCTATTACATTTAAGCATCCCAGAGCGATAAAATGTATATACAGTTCACTCATTACTTACCTTAAAATATTTGTAGTCTTAATGTAGGGTCAAGAGTAAGTAAATGAGATAAAACGAATAAACGAGAGAGAGAAAGAATGAGTGCATGAGAAAGGACAGGCGCAGAGTTATGTAAACAAACCAGGCGAAGGTAAGTTTTGTAAATGAAGTGTACACGTCTGGTTTGTGTACAAGTTACATTGTGTACAGGTTGTCTCTACATTGATACGCTAGAATAAATAAAGAAGAACACTCCCATTCTCATGTAACATCATTTTGAGAAGAAATGATGCTCTGAGTGAAGGCAATGGAAATAAGTCACTCTGACTTTTTTGGGTTATCCTAGGTTCTCTACACATATGTTGTTATGTATGATAATCTATGTAACTGTATTTGTGTATACCTGAATAAACTTACATACATACGAAAGGAATAATTTTCTACAGTTACCCCCAGTAACACATTTTCTCTTATGTTAGATTAGAGAAAATGTTATTCTTGGCATCACTTGTAAAAGTTATCTGGCTACCACATCTCATATTTGCTTATTTATTCTATTGTAGGGTGTATTTATCATCTTTTTATGTTATGTATCGTGTTTATTATATAATTTTGAAAAAATATCATAGATGGATTAATGAAAATGTGTATTTAATGTAATATACGACATTTAAATGAGACTCGATGATTTTTATCATTACTAATATGACGTCTGGAGACATAAGACTCTTACTGATTTTAATGTGTACCTGCACGCCAGCACAGTATGTAAGTTTATTAAAGTATAGGTATACATATGTATAATTATCAGAGTATATATAAAATATGAAATAACTTTTAAAAACATTTGAAATTTTGGAGTTTCCAGACAAAATGGAGAGACTTAGTGCTTACTGAGCTCACGAAGAATGTAAACAAACAAGGTGGGGCGCGGTGACCGTATTAGGAAGTCAGGTGGGGGGAGCCGTATAGCGAGTTTTGGTCATAATTTGAAATGACCGTATTAGCGGAACGCCGTAAAGTGAAACGCCGTAAAGCGGGGCCCTGCTGTACTAACATAGTTAATAAACTTGGAGTTGTTAGATTCTGTGGGATAACTGGAGAATGCCTCTTTTGATTGGCTTCAAAGGTTAAACTCTGATGTATCTCTAATGATGAAAAGTTTAGTTTGATTTTGGGCCTTGTATGTACCTGCTTGCCAATTTTATAAAAAAATTGAGAAAATTGAATAGTACTACTGGGTTTCATGCTATATTTTTGTGAATGACTCGTCCAGTTGGCTTCAAACCTTCAGTGTTTGTGTGTGATACTGGGAGAAACTAATTGATTTTAAAGCTGATGTGTTTTAGTGTTTAGTTCAAATTGATTTTAGGTTGTACCAATTTGCCATTTTTATTGAAGAAATAAGTACATTACTTTCCATGCAATAAATTGTGAATGCCTTTTTTTTTTTTCATTTGTTTTAAATTTTCACTGCTGATATTTGACTGCATTAGAAACTTGATACTCTGTATTATCCATTTTGCATGCATTAAAGTTGAGGGACCTGTGCTCATGGGAGTGAAACACAAAGTAATTAGTTTGTTGCTTTATTCATCAGTAAGGGTCAAAGAAAGTTGATGAAATTTTAATTTATTTAAAAACATTTTTTTCTTTATCAGTAATGTAATAGTGTGTACTCTTGTAATCAAATTTCTAGGACTTTGAAGAAAATGGCTCCATGGAGAATGTGTGCCTCTTCCTGAATCTTGCCAACGATCCAACCATTGAACGTATCATCACACCACGTCTTGCTCTGACTACAGCAGAGTATCTGGCTTACCAGTGTGAGAAACACGTCCTCATCATTCTTACTGACATGTCTTCATATGCTGAAGCTTTGCGTGAGGTGGGTTTGACTAATTTATTTTGTTTTGAAAAGTGTTGAACCTAACAACTGATATGCTTAGGTATAAAATCATCCATTTAGTTTTTCCATATTCATGTTGTACATTTAATTTCTTAAAAATTTGGAATACTGCTGCAGTGGTAGAGAAAAGAGAAATGTTTTTCAGTAATTTGTTTATTAGCATGAGTTACCCTTCCTCTCCCCAAAGAGGATTCTTAATGTTTGAAGCCACTTTTACAATTACTGTGCATTTACTTTGTGTAACTTTTATGCCTTGATGCCTACCCTGTAAATGTAACACAAATGTAACACATTACCAGAGTGCATATAAGCTTAATTTTTATGCTGCTGCTGCTGCTGTTGCTGCTGTATTGTCATATCTTGTCCTGTATTTTTTGACTTGCGAAATTATAATGATACGAATGTGAGAGTTATGATGATGGATTTTAGGGGACTTGAGCTAGAGTTCGTCATGGCCACGCTGGCTGGAGATTTATCTATAAAAACTTGCATTTGTGCCACAGTAGGACCCATGCTAACCTCCCTATGGTGTGAAAATATACCTAGTTGGATGAATCTTAGTGTAGCCAGCTGGCCTAGTGCTTATGTGCTGGCCTGGAGTTTTACCCATACAGTAGTCTGTACCATCTGTTCTTCTGATACCTATACTTGACAGTGATGATTTTTGCCCTTGAAAAATTCAGGTTACAGCTTTGTAAGCTCCCTCTCAGAGCCTGGACATCATTGCACTAGTGCCAGCCCTTTGGTAAAGGTGAGAAAGGCTATAGAATTGAAGAAAGAACTCGTAGCAGAGTACCAAAGTGGAGGAGGAAGAGAGAAGGGTGAATGTGCCTTCTTCAGTGATTCTATGATATGTATAATACTAAAGCAGCACGAGTCGATACAGGCTATAGCGCCAGCCAGTGATAAAGTGTAGTATTAACACTGTAGCAAGTAAGTTAAGTGATTAATCAATAGAAGGACAGCATGAACCTAACTCCTCCAGTGTTAGAGGTATATAGGGCTGCTGAGAACACCGCCGCCTCTGTTGGCCTTCACCACCACTATGTACGGCTTATGCTCTCAGTGGCCCTTATACATCCAACAACAACACACCACTCGTTATTAATATTGTTATTAATGCTAATAACGAGGGGTTATTACTCTTATTAATATTATTTATTATGTCTTATTAGACCAATTGTGGTAGATAAATAATCCGTAGAGTTGATATTAGTGTCATATTGAAGGACTATCTTGTCCTGTCTCCGAACAAACTCTGCCGCCCCCACAATTCCTGACATACGTAATGACATATTTTAAATGTGATTGGGTGGCTGGGCATTTGCAAATGTTTGAAGCCCGCGAAAGTGGAATTCGCGAATGTGGAGGGAGACCTGTACATTTATTACTTTATTTTATTAACACATCGGCCGAGTCCCACCAAGGCAGGGTGGCCCGAAAAAGAAACTTTCATCATTCACTCCATCACTTTCTTGCCAGAGTGGTGCTTTACACTGCAGTTTATAAAACTGCAACATTAACACCCCTCCTTCAGAGTGCAGACACTGTACTTCCCATCTCCAGGACTCAAGTCCGGCCTGCCGGTTTCCCTGAATCCCTTCATAAATGTTACTTTGTTCACACTCCAACAGCACGTCAGGTATTAAAAACTTAAAAGAAGTGATGTTAAATGTCTCTTGGGTCTGTTCTTTGTTGCAAATGTGTTACAGCTGTTGCTTAAATATTTCTTGTCTTTGATGATAACTGTTTATCATTGCTCTGGCTCTTGTCAAACTATAACTGGAGTGGAGTCAGACTGCTCAGTGACGCAACCTTCCTACCTCTTTAGCTTTGCACTCCAGACTGGTACCCTATTTTCCCTGCCTTGCAGTTTTGCCCCTATCATTTACCCTATCTATACCTAGCATAAGGATGTGAAGTTTTGCTGCGTAATGGTTGGAGAGACTCCTACTAAGTAGGGGGGGCTTCTGCCCATGTAGTCTCTGGGACTTGCTCGTTTAACCCTTTCAGTGTCAGTCCCGTAGTACTATGGCTTTGAAGCCAGGGTCGGTCCCATAGTTCTACGCCATGAGCTCAGCTCACTCAGATAAACTGTGAGCAGTAAATTTGGGACTAGAGTGAATGGGTCTGTGCTGTAAATGTGCACCATATAAAAATTCCTGCAGCACGCAGTGCATAATGGGGGGAAAAAAAAGCTGTAACCATGTTTTTGGTTTTAAAACAGCTACTGATGCTATTGGCTCTCGAGAAAACTGTTCCCAGATACATTAGGCACTTTGATGATCTGACGGTTTAATGCATGTTTTATGGAATGTCTGTCTTGCTATTGGTGCTAGCTATCTTGATTTCAAGACCCCAGGTTCATTTATGTCATAAGGCCAACTAAATGTACTTGTTTGTATGCTGAATTGTCTATGTTCTTTGCCTGTTCCTTATTAAGTGCAGTCTAGAAAAAACTGCAAAATCTAGTAACAAAGTACTCTCTTGATTAAGCTCTTACTAACACTGATAGTATAGAACGAGTCTATTTTATTGACAGAAGCAAATTTTTTTTTTTTTTTTTTTTTTTATACTCAGGATTCTCAAGGCCTTCATTTGTCTCCTGCCTTTCTTCAGCCATTCTTGTGAGGCAGGATCCATTATTGAGCATTGCCACAGGATGTTTACATAATTTTTTTTTAGATTTTGCTACTGAGGCAGCTTGTTGATTGTGAACCTATGTCCATCCTGTGAACAGTAGTGCAAAAGCATATGGATACACAAAAGTCCTGAAAATTAGGCACCAATTAGGTTAGCAGGAGTAAATCTGGATATTATCTAAAAGTCGTATTAATCTGTTGTAAGCAAATTTAAGGTATTTGCTTAATATGTATGGTATCTTATTTTCATTAATGTGATGCCTTAACATATCACATAAGTTACTTAGTTGTCTATCCCTGCATTCCTCAATAAGTGGACAGTCAATCACATACAGTGCTTGTCATTAAAGTGTGCCATATAGAAAGCACACAGTGTACTTCAATGTACAAAGAAATGCCCTATCCTATTAAGCTTGTTGATGAAGTGATGCTGGTCTTGCAACTCAGTGGAACATTTCAGGATTCCCTACAGCTACTGGCTGCATCATAAGTACATTCAGGGCTTGTGTTGTGGACTGCTTTCTGTTCATGGTTCTTGTGTGTGGTGTGATCTTGAGGGCCTAGTTTGTTGGTCATTTTTGCATTCGGTGAATTAATATGGGCAGGAGAAAGTTGCTGACACAAGACAATTGCAAAGATCATTAATTACTTAAGGCAGGAGTAGGAAACAGTGAGCATCCAGCAAGGATCTGGTTGTCAATTCCTCAACAGTTTTGATAATATGCCTTCACAAAAACATGCCCAAGAAAGCCTTGAAAAACATCCCCACTAATGTTAAATGTAATAACGTTTTGTATCTAGGAAATAGTGTGGACTGGAAACATTCTCAGCTGCACAGTGGTCACTTTATTTTCTCAAAGGACCATTACATAGAGGTTCCCATTGAAAATTTATAGGGCATGCTGACCCAGTTTTCAGGGAGTATGCTGACTTAATTTTCAATATCTCATTCAGCATCCTAATGTGGTTATTCTGTCTTCCTCTCTGAATGTCTCATTTGTATTCCATATTCTGACCTTGAAATTATCCCCCCCCCCCCCAAAAAAAAAAAAAATAAAAAATAAATTTGGTAATTACAGAACATATTAGTAGAACATATAGTAGGTTGGTAGACAGCAACCACCCAGGGAGGTACTACTGTCCTGCCAAATGAGTGTAAAACGAAAGCCTGTAATTGTTTTACATGATGGTAGGATTGCTGATGTCTTTTGTCTGTCTCATAAATATGCAAGATTACAGGTATGTCTTGCTACTTCTACTTACACTTAGGTCACACTACACATACATGTACACATTTATTTATACACACTCGTCTGAATTTTCTTAGATTTTATCTTAATAGTTCTTGGTCTTATTACTTTTCCTTTTATATCCATGGGGAAGTGGAATAAAAATCTTTCCTCCGTAAGCCATGCGTGTTGTAAAAGTCAACTAAAATGCCGGGAACAATGGGCTAGTAACCCCTTTTCCTGTAAGATTACTAAAAAGAATAAGAAGAAAATTGTCAAAATAGGAAGTCTGTGCGTGGATGTTGTGCAAATGATAAGAAAGAGATGATTGTGGATGTTATGAATGAGAAGAAGCTGGATGTCCTGGCTTTAAGTGAAACAAAGGTGAAGGGGGTGGGAGAGTTTCAATGGAGAGGAATAAATGGGATTAGGTCAGGGGTTTCAAATAGTTAGAGCTAAAGAAGGAGTAGCAATAATGTTGAAGGATAAGCTATGGCAGGAAAAGAGGGACTATAAATGTATTAATTCAAGGATTATGTGGAGTAAAATAAAGATTGTGAAAAGTGGGTTATAATAAGCGTGTATGCACCTGGAGAAGAGAGAAGTGTAGAGGAGAGAGAGAGATTTTGGGAAATGTTCAGTGAATGCGTGGGGAATTTTGAATCAAGTGTGAGAGTAATGGTGGTTGGGGATTTCAATGCTAAAGTGGGTAAAAATGTTATGGAGGGAGTAGTAGGTAAATTTGGGGTGCCAGGGGTAAATGTAAATGGGGAGCCTTTAATTGAGCTATGTGTAGAAAGAGATTTGGTAATAAGTAATACATATTTTATGAAAAAGAGGATAAATAAATATTACAAGGTATGATGTAGCACGTAATGAAAGTAGTTTATTAGATTATGTATTGGTGGATAAAAGGTTGATGGGTAGGCTCCAGGATGTACATGTTTATAGAGGGGCAACTGATATGTCGGATCATTATTTAGTTGTAGCTACAGTTAGAGTAAGAGGTAGATGGGAAAAGAGGAAGGTGGAAACAACAAGTAAGAGGGAGGTGAAAGTGTATAAACTAAGGGAGGAGGAAGTTCGGGTGAGATATAAGCGACTATTGGCAGAAAGGTGGGCTAGTGCAAAGATGAGTAGTGGGGGGGTTGAAGAGGGTTGGAATAGTTTTAAAAAGGCAGTATTAGAATGTGGGGCAGAAGTTTGTGGTTATAGGAGGGTGGGGGCAGGTGGAAAGAGGAGTGATTGGTGGAATGATGAAGTAAAGGGTGTGATAAAAGAGAAAAAGGTAGCTTATGAGAGGTTTTTACAAAGCAGAAGTGTTATAAGAAGAGCAGAGTATATGGAGAGTAAAAGAAAGGTAAAGAGAGTGGTGAGAGAGTGCAAAAGGAGAGCAGATGATAGAGTGGGAGAGGCACTGTCAAGAAATTTTAATGAAAATAAGAAAAAATTTTGGAGTGAGTTAAACAAGTTAAGAAAGCCTAGGGAAAGTATTGATTTGTCAGTTAAAAACTGAGTAGGGGAGTTAGTAGATTGGGAGATGGAGGTATTAGGTAGATGGCGAGAATATTTTGAGGAACTTTTAAATGTTAAGGAAGACAGAGAGGCAGTAATTTCATGCACTGGTCAGGGAGGTATACCATCTTTTAGGAGTGAAGAAGAGCAGAATGTAAATGTGGGGGAGGTATGTGAGGCGTTACATAGAATGAAAGGGGGTAAAGCAGCTGGAACTGATGGGATCATGACAGAAATGTTAAAAGCAGGGGGGGGGGGGATAGTGTTGGAGTGGTTGGTACTTTTGTTTAATAAATGTATGAAAGAGGGGAAGGTACCTAGGGATTGGCGGAGAGCATGTATAGTCCCTTTATATAAAGGGAAAGGGGACAAAAGAGACTAAAAATTATAGAGGAATAAGTTTACTGAGTATACCAGGAAAAGTGTATGGTAGGGTTATAATTGAAAGAATTAGAGGTAAGACAGAATGTAGGATTGTGGATGAGCAAGGAGGTTTCAGAGTGGGTAGGGGATGTGTAGATCAAGTGTTTACATTGAAGCATATATGTGAACAGTATTTAGATAAAGGTAGGGAAATTTTTATTGCATTTATGGATTTAGAAAAGGCATATGATAGTGGATAGAGGAGCAATGTGGCAGATGTTGCAAGTATATGGAATAGGTGGTAAGTTATTAAATGCTGTAAATAGTTTTCATGAGGATAGTGAGGCTCAGGTTAGGGTGTGTAGAAGAGAGGGAGATTACTTCCCGGTAAAAGTAGGTCTTAGACAGGGATGTGTAATGTCACCATGGTTGTTTAATATATTTATAGATGGGGTTGTAAAGGAAGTAAATGCTAGGGTGTTCGGGAGAGGGGTGGGATTAAATTTTGGGGAATCAAATTCAAAATGGGAATTGACAGTTACTTTTTGCTGATGATACTGTGCTTATGGGAGATTCTAAAGAAAAATTGCGAAGGTTAGTGGATGAGTTTGGGAATGTGTGTAAAGGTAGAAAGTTGAAAGTGAACATAGAAAAGAGTAAGGTGATGAGGGTATCAAATGATTTAGATAAAGAAAAATTGGATATCAAATTGGGGAGGAGTATGGAAGAAGTGAATATTTTCAGATACTTGGGAGTTGACGTGTCGGCGGATGGATTTATGAAGGATGAGGTTAATCATAGAATTGATGAGGGAAAAAAGGTGAGTGGTGCGTTGAGGTATATGTGGAGTCAAAAAACGATATCTATGGAGGCAAAGAAGGGAATGTATGAAAGTATAGTAGTACCAACACACTTATATGGGTGTGAAGCTTGGGTGGTAAATGCAGCAGCAAGGAGACGGTTGGAGGCAGTGGAGATGTCCTGTTTAAGGGCAATGTGTGGTGTAAATATTATGCAGAAAATTCGGAGAGTGGAAATTAGGAAAAGGTGTGTAGTTAATAAAAGTATTAGTCAGAGGGCAGAAGAGGGGTTGTTGAGGTGGTTTGGTCATTTAGAGAGAATGGATCAAAGTAGAATGACATGGAAAGCATATAAATCTATAGGGGAAGGAAGGCGGGGTAGGGGTCGTCCTCGAAAGGGTTGGAGAGAGGGGGTAAAGGAGGTTTTGTGGGCAAGGGGCTTGGACATCCAGCAAGCGTGCGTGAGCGTATTAGATAGGAGTGAATGGAGACGAATGGTACTTGGGACCTGACGATCTGTTGGAGTGTGAGCAGGGTAATATTTAGTGAAGGGATTCATGGAAACCGGTTATTTTCATATAGTCGGACTCGAGTCCTGGAAATGGAAAGTACAATGCCTACACTTTAAAGGAGGGGTTTGGGATATTGGCAGTTTGGAGGGATATGTTGTGTATCTTTATACGTATATGCTTCTAAACTGTTGTATTCTGAGCACCTCTGCAAAAACAGTGATAATGTGTGAGTGTGGTGAAAGTGTTGAATGATGATGAAAGTATTTTCTTTTTGGGAATTTTCTTTCTTTTTTGGGTCACCCTGCCTCGGTGGGAGATGGCCGACTTGTTGAAAAAAAAAAAAAAAAAATTCTTCATATTAGGTATCTGCAGCCAGAGAGGAAGTGCCAGGTCGTCGTGGTTTCCCTGGTTACATGTACACCGATTTAGCCACTATTTATGAACGTGCTGGCAGAGTAGAGGGACGACAAGGTTCCATCACGCAAATTCCTATTCTTACTATGCCTAATGATGGTAAGAATTTAGTTAATTTTTTTTTTCTTTTTATTACTCCATGTCTTTATTTTTGTTTATGCATTCTGTTGATTAAAGGTTGCTGTTTCTTATGAAATGATTACAGATATACTGTAATATGATATACTGTACTCCACTTTTGATTTAAAAAAAAAGTTGCAGTTGTGGGGAATAACATAGTAAAATGCTTTCTTTTTACAGATATTACTCATCCCATTCCTGATCTCACGGGTTACATCACAGAAGGTCAGATTTATGTTGAGCGTCAGTTGCACAATCGTCAAATTTATCCACCTATCAATGTACTACCATCACTATCTCGACTTATGAAGTCTGCTATTGGTGAGGGAATGACACGTAAGGATCATTCTGACGTCTCCAACCAGCTATATGCTTGTTATGCCATTGGCAAAGATCTTCAGGCCATGAAGGCTGTGGTGGGTGAAGAGGCTCTTACCTCTGATGATTTACTTTATCTAGAGTTTCTTGGAAAGTTTGAGAAGTCGTTCATCTCTCAAGGATCGTATATGAAGCGCACTGTCTTTGAGTCTCTGGACATTGGATGGCAGTTGCTTCGTATCTTCCCCAAAGAAATGCTCAAGCGTATCCCAGCCTCTACTCTTGCAGAGTTCTACCCACGAGACCGACCACAGTAGTGTGTATATATCTCCAGGTGATTATAAACTTGGTAATTATATTTTATCAGGGAATGGTTGTAAATTTGTGAAAAATAGGTTATTGTTATCATTGTTTATGGATTTTACAAAATGTCACATAAATCATGTTTTAAGGTAAATGTTAGCTGTATTTATCAAATATGATCAAGATAGAAATAATTTGTAAAGAATTTATCAGGTTATTTTTGGAACCATATATTTTTTAAAGGCTAACCCGTAAGTTTTCATTTTTATAATGGTTCTCATTTTTAATCATGATAGGATTTGTTGTATAGTAAGATGTTGAAAATATTGATAGATTGATTGTGCATTGAGCCATAACTAGTGTGCATGACAAGACAATAAACATCCATGACTTTAACTATTGGTTAATTTTAATTGAAATGTTGGCAACAAAGGCCTGATAAATGAAATTAAAAGAAATATTCCAGGGATCTTTTTTCCATGCTTTTTTTATTGCAATTTTTTCAGCATAATAAGGAAAAACATGGAGATACATAAGTAATGTTTTTAAATAGAAAATCACATGGTACCCACCATTGAGGCTGACAGAACAAACTTCAAACATATTGAGTTGATAGCTTTTGTAAGTATATTCCTGTAGGTTGTAAACATTTTTCTTAATATGCTGTTGTTACTTAGCACAACTTGGTGCAGTTGTTGTATATATTAGTGGAGCAGTTGTGTTGTATGCATAAAGACTAGGTGATAGAGGTTTCCAACCTACAGGGAATCACAGGTGACACACATTGACACATTCCAGGAACTGACCACAGCTGCTCTTATTTACATAAGAGATTATGCTTTTAATTTATTATCTTTTTTTGTGTTTACCTTGTGTATAATATGTGGAGAAAATTTAGAGAAATGTAGTGTATCTTTGGTCTGGATTAGAGCAGTGTTGTAAAGTTGTGGAAATAATAACTGGAATTCCGTCTAATAAAATGTATAATAGTTTTTGGCAATTTTAATTACTATATCTTGTCCTACACATGATGTAATTTTTTTTTATTTTAGCATAAACATGTCAATATTGCAAGCTGTATTAAACTGGGTACATTATGGATGGTTCAAAAATACAGTAATGCATGGACTCCCTTTGAGTAAAAATAGACTTCTGTAATGCATTTACAAATAGCAATAAATGATTGTAGAGTAAATGTCTGTGAAAGACAAGTAAAAATATTGTAACTGAGTTGCAAGATAAAATATTTTTTAAAAGCACTTCAAGCAGGAGGAGGAGCAATTTTGAATTAACATTTACTTAATTTTCTGTGGATTAAATTTTTTACCAGATGACTGAATACAGTAAAATACTACAATGCTATGCCTTGGTTTCTTGTACTCTGAAGTGTTTGTGAAAAGTGAAGGAAGGATGGGGGTAACCTTCCTCTTTTGCATCTTTACTTCATTGTTTCCTGCTAATATTCCTCCAGGAAAGTAATTTGATGCAAAAACTGTCTTAATCAACTGGACCTATTCCTTTCCTTGGATCAAACCTGATTGCCTCTCATTTATCCCAGGGGCAGTATAATCCCTATTGTCTTAGCATTCCTATGCATGCAGTAATAATAGTCTAATACTCTGATTTACAAGGAGTTACCCACAAAGAAAATAACACGCTCCTCTGGCAAGCATTTTAATACAGTGGACCCTTGGTTATCGGCCAAAAACCCATTCCAGATGGGGGGCCAAAAACCAAAATGGCCAAAAAATTGAAATTTTTCCCCATATGAATTATGAAAATACTTTTAATCCAACCAGACATTCAAAAATATTAACAAAAAATACATTTTTAAAGATTAATTATAGTTTTACATACACAAAACAATGAACTAAATAAAATAAACATTTAAATCACTATTACATACTTTTATTGAAGACTTGTTGGCTTATGGAAGACAGGAGGAAGAGGGAGGATTGATTTTCGGAAGGTAATCCCCCCATAAGGATTTGGGGTATCAAAGCCCCCCTCTGGGGTTCCCCTCCCTCCCTTTCCTCCTCACCCCTGCTACACCTGCCCCTACACCCCCCTGCCTGCCTCTACACTTCCCCAGCTACCCCCCCCTGAATCCCGGCTACACCCCCTGCCTCCACATTTTTTTCCCTGCCTCCCTCCCTGCCCCTCCATTTTGCTGCTTCACTCTGTTTCCCTGCTCACTCCCCCCCTTCCACATCCTTTTTTCCCTGGTACACTCCCTGCCTCCCTTCCCCTTTCCCTTTTTTCTCTGCTATATCCTCCCCCTTCCACACTCCATTTCCCTGCCACTCCTGCCCCCTTTCCACAGATGTGTAAAAAACCTAGGTAATCCAAGTCATGACTTTTTTCCTTGGGGGCCTGCTCCCTACTACACACACTCCCGCTGCTACACCCCCTGCCCCCTATACATTCCTGCTAAATTTCCCTTTTTCACAACATTAGCTTCCTTAATGTTGGATAATGACCTCTTCAAGGGGGGCCCCTTGGCGGGGTGAAGGGGCTCGGGGTTGGGAATTAGCCCTGTGGTCTTTTTCCTCAGACCGAACCAAATTTTACCCCCCCCATTCTCCCCTCCCCTATCCCTTTTCCTCCCCATCCTCCCCTTTTCCATTCCTCCCCTCCTCCTACCCTCCCTTTTGCCTTCCCTTTTTACCCTTTCGTATTTCTCCCACGGGGGCCGCTAGTTCCTGGTGGGGAAAGGACACCGGGGTCCATCCCATCGTGGGGTTTTTTGGGGTGGCTTAGTTTGCCGGGGGAATTGGATTCCCAGGGAGCCCCCGACCCCCTCTCGGATCCGGAGTAGCTTTGGGTGTCTTTTGGGCGGGGGGTTGTAGCTCGGGGAAGCCACCTTTCGGTTCCGGGGGGGTGGCTGAAGGGGTATGTTTTGGGTGGCGGATATCCGGCCCCCCTCTCTTTTGTCCCCCGAGGAGCTCGGCAGATGTGGGGTTGCTATCCCAATTGCTGGTTTACGGGCAGAAGGGTAGGGTATGGAAAGGGTTTCCCCTGCTGCTCTGCGCTACTACGGTGTCGAGTCCTCTTGGGGCGGGGGGAGTTTTTGGGGCCCTTTCTTCCTCCGGGAACTATCCCTCCCCGGCCCCCCCCCTTTTTTTTTTTTTTTTTTTTATTTTTTTTTCTTTTTTTTTTCTTTTTTTTCTTAAAAACAAAAAGAAAGAAGAAACCAACCAGGCGCCCTAGTCCATGAACCGGGGTACCCCCGGGCCCCTTCTTGTACCGCCCCCCGTTCTGACCCCCGTCGCTTTGGACCATCTTCAGACATTCCTCATGCCTCTGTCCCTTTTTGCCGGTGCGTTTCCTCCCCCGCTTCAGGTCTGACCCCTCGACTGATCCTTCGATTTATCGACCTTCGTTTCCCCTTGACTATGCTTCCGGCCTCTCCCTCTGGGTGCGGCAATTTAAAATGCCGCCCCGTTCCAGTGGACCAATTCGGGTCCCACGCCAAACGTCACGACAATTACCTGGATGATACTTCTCCCCCCCTTACCTTTGTTCTTTCTCAAAAAACGTCGACACGTCTTCACTCCTTTCCACGTCAGTTTCAGATGAACAGGGGGATAAATTTTTCACTTTAGCCCAAACTCCTCTACTGCCATCTTTCTGACCTGTATTGGCAAGGCCTCCTACGCCATGTTGGTAAAGATATTTTTTTCATGCTCTTAAGAGCGGTACGCGCACATTCCCGTACAGAATGTCCCCCGGGTCGGATCCTCGTTTTTCCCCTTAGATACTTTTTTCCTGTCCCCCTTGAAAAACTCATTCCCTAAATTCTTGTTGGTACGTTATTTGCCCATACCTAGTTAAACAAAATTTCCAGACATGTGGCACCGGAAAATTCAAAACAGCTGGAACTCCAAGATCTCCATTCCTAAAGGGTAGCCCTTTTACGTTTTTCCCGCCCGGGGGCGGAGACGATACCCTGCAATGTGGCTCGTTTAATTTTGACACCCCGAGAACTCCCATCCCCCGTTTATTAGCGGGGACATGGGTTACAAGTTCGAAAGGGACCCCTACCCACACAGTGTAGAAATTGCTGGGATTTGGCCATCCGCAAAATTTTGCAATCTATCGCCAAATGCCCAGTCTGTGGTCCCGATGACCATTCTAATATTTTTGCAATCATCCCCCTCTTCCCTTTTAACTGTCTTGGGCTCCCCCTTCGCTCTCGCCGTTGTCAGGTCTTTTTAAAACACGGGAAATCCTTACCTCAAAGAGCAGAAGGTCCCCCTTATGCCATGGCAGTTTTCATCCCCGCCCCCAGGGAGACTCCCACGGTTTCTTATTCCCGTGTTTCAAAACGTCCCCCCACTTCTGGTATCCCATCTTCTACACCCACCCTGTGGTTCCCTCCCCCATTCACTCCTTATCTAATCCTTTTGCTGTCTCGGCTCGACGTCCCACTTAACGCCTAGTCAAAATCTCGCTTTTTCGAGTTCTCTTTACAACCCTCAGTTCGACGAGCCCTGTACGACCCCTCTTCCCAATCGCCCCTCTACTTCTCAAAAGCAAAAAAAGGTCCGGTAACACCTCCTCCCATCTTCCACCTCCTCATTTTCCCTCCCTGTCTCTGTCCCTAGTTCTTCCCTCTCACTGGTCAGTTACAAGTGCAAGGTTCACCTCCCCCTCGTAATGTCCCTTCCTCCCCTTTTCCCTCCAAGTTTTTTCCTCTTCTGCCCCCTCCCAGGTTCCTTCTCTTCTGTCCCCCCCAAACGCTTCTCCATTTCCTCCCCCTTTCCCCCCCCCCACCTTGGTACAGTCCAATACTTTCCAATCTTTTTACTCATCCCCCCCTACCATTCCAAATTGTTCCCATACGACTTCTGAATTCCAAAACCTTGAAGCAATCTCTGAATATATTGCAGAGCCCCAAACCACAAGGGACCGATCCCCCTTTCCGCTCTTTCCTCTCCTCTGCTCCATCTGCGCAACCCCTTTCTCACCGCCCCTTTTTCCTTCGTGCTTGAACTTTTTCCACTGCCTCCGATGTGGACTTTTCAACCCTTCAGTCCGTGGGAAACCCCTTTACCTGCGGATTTCAAGTATTTTTTCATTCCCAATCATGGCCTTTTTACAGGGGAATTACGCGGTCGGGAAAATCGGGTGGCTTCAGATGTTACTCCCCAGTTTCCCCCTGTTGGTGTTTGCTTACAGGAACCAAAATTACCCCTTGCTGTTTTTCTCACATCTCAGGCTATTTTTATTGTATTTTTCAGATTTTTTCCCTGATGGGACCTTAAATAAAAGGCCCCTTTTCTCCGCACTGTTTTTCCGTACCACACTATTTTTTCATTTCGCTGCTTACCAGCAGCCCGTATCCATTACATAGGGGGTATACCTCTGTTCTTTTATCTTTCCTTCTCGGGCATTATCTTTTCCCGGATTTTCCTTCCTTTTTTCGTTTTACCGCCCCCGATTCTGTTACTTGGTGATTTTTAATGCCCACCTTTTCTCTGGGGAGGGTTACTGTATTCCGGGGAAATTTCATTGAGGCTTTTTTTCCCCCCACCCCTCCTGTTTTAAATACAGGTACCACCCCCTTTTTTGACCCTCGGCCCCATACTCTCTCTTGCATCGATCTCTCATTTTGTCTTCCTCCCCCGCTTAGATTTATTTTGGTCTGTTCTCCCGGACTTAAGACATGTCATTTCCCATCTTTCTTACTTCCCCTTCATTTTCGCCACCTCTTCGCCCCCCCACGGGGGAAATTTAATCGGGAAAATTTGGAACCTTTTCACACCTGACTTTTTTTTAAAGAGGTTCCTCCTTCGTCCTCCATCGATGGCTTTTAACTCTTCCGCCCCCCGTTTTCACGCACTTTCTTTCTATACCCCAAACTTCGGGCAGGCATCTCAGAAATGCGTCCCCTTGGTGGTTCCTGTTGTGCTGTGCAGACGTTTAAAAAACCCTGCAGGGGGGCGGTTCCCGGGAAAAATAAACCACAGAGCGACTCCTTGTTTTTTTA